GCTTCGACTCACGCTCACGCTGGGTCGGTATCGGAGGTGGAACAGGCAAGTCCTCCAAGCTCTTGCGGCGCTCACCTGCACTCGATGAAGACTGTCCCTCACCTGGCCCTCCGACCAATTGCACCTTTCAACAACGCCAGCGACGATCCTGGCTCCGACTCGACGGGTGCACTCTCACGCTTCAATGCAACCAAATCCTGTGTCCTCAGCCTTTCTCGGCTTAACATTCCTTTTGGCGGCGGTCGCCTTTGGAGCGGAAGCGGAGGCCGATTCGTCCCGGGATGTCGACGGCTTCGGTGGATGCGATCTGAGCTCTTTCGCCTGGGCCTTTAGGGCAGTGATGCCCTGCTTGAGGATCTCACGCGCCTTCCGACGCGATTATTCTGAAGAAGTGGACTCGTCCTTTGCTCCTCGGGGCGTGCGTTTCGGTAGCGCTGTAATCTGGTCAGGATCCTGCTTCTGTTGTCAGCCACTCGGCACGCGGCTCAACACAATGCTCAACCGACGCCCCAACTGTTGGTTCAAGTGTGGGTTCAGGCGACTCCTCAACCGTACGCTAAACGACTGATCGTGACGTTCTTTTCAATCCTCAACAGATCGTTCAGCCGATCTCTCAACACCTGATTCTTCCGGAGTTGTCACCGACTCTCCTTCCAGATCTCCTGGTTCGTATACCCTCACCGTCCCGGGACACAAGCCCAAAGCCTTTTGCAAGTGACCTCGAGCGGTGTCCGGGTCCTAGATCGTGAACGTCGATCGGCAGGCTCCGAGTCTCCCAGGTTTCAACGAGCCCTGGTGGGGGATGTCTTGGCTGTCGAGGACTCCGACGCTCATACACCTCCCGGTGCCCTCGATCACCTCGATCTCGATCGCTTCTCTCGTCACCACGATCGCAATCTGAAGTTCTTCCACTGTAGGGGGCCCGCGCTCACGGCGCGACAGCTGGGATGGACGATTCGGATTTCCACCCACGACGCCTCCCCAACTCACCTTATGTTCTTTTGATCACCACGTCAAACCCCTTCTATCTGATCCAGGTCAGTCCAACGTAGTCACCTTTCGTTTGATGGTCTCAAGCTCTGATTGCGGCTGATAACCAGTTAACAATCGAACTCGATGTCTGCGGCACGTCTCTCGATCGTGGTCAACGCGCCTGTTTCTCAAGGTCTTGAGCCAAAAGTGTCCAGTTTTGTGAAACATTGATGACCGGATCACGTGGGAGCTACAATCATTAAGGTTGACATTCAGATTCCAGTGTTGCACGAAAAGCACTATGCCACATGGCAAAAGCAACATGCAAGTCATCGCTCACTCTTCACTGGTCAGTTCACATACCTCTGGGCGTAGGTCTTGGGTTGCACTCGGTGGAAGTTTTCACTTGTCACTGCAAGATCAAGCTCCGGCAGCCTCCAAGAACGCAGGAGGTGAAACAAAGTACTTGATGCAGTCCTGACGCTCGAGCCGCGAACTCCTCCCCCGAATGCCGCTCTACAGACATACAGCATCGATATACAGTATCTTCAGTCCTCATCCATGACAAAGAATCTCTCAGACCACTCTTTGCGCCAGCGGCTTTGTTTCTCCAACATGCCGGCGAGCTTGTGGCTACTGAAGCTGCTTCTCAAGCCAACTTCAGCTCTTTCACTTCTCTCCATAATGAACTTAACTGGGCTTTCACTTCTCTTGGACGTGATCAGCTCTGCTCCGAAACCACGTTCCACACACAGCAGCTCCGTGCACCATTGCTCACACCTTTGTTCTTAATAAACACCCTCAACCATCTGATTTGTCAAACGCCAAGCCAATGTGGTCTGCAAAAGCACGGTTGTTTCCCAAAAGTGTTTGATGCTAGATTGGGCCCCCTGCCAGCCCGAACTTGCAGTAAAAGAATCTGCAAAAAAAAACTTGGCAGTCAAAACAAGTCGAGTCGCGCACCTTGCACCTAGCGGTACTCAATGATCTCGAGCCAAAGCAATAAACAAACATTTTCTTGTGAACTGACCGGGCTGCAAAAGATCAAACAAACTTGCCCTCCGCTGGAAGAACCAAGACACAAAGTCCTGGGCCTCAGAGCAATTAGAAACTGACAAACAACTGAAGTGGACATAGCAACCACAGCCTGACAAGGCAAGCGCGCTACTGCACTACTTGCATCCTCAGCCCCGCTCCAGCACACCCCGTTATTTGCGATTGCATGGAAGATGCTTCAGGTTTTCCAAAGTGCGCTTTCTTGCGCGACGCCACTCCATCCGCTTGGGTGCTTCTTTCGGCCAGCGACGCTAACTAGGCCCCCCGCGCGAAACCGCAATTTTTACAATTTTTCGGTTTTGGAAGACGTTCTACATGTTTCGTTGTAGAAATAGGAGCATATGTGCGGGGCCTACAGTTTAGCTTCGTATGCATACACACTGTGTTCATGGGGGGGGTGGGCTGGGGTCCAATTTCCTAAGCTCGCGCGCTGCCGTTTCACACAGCCGCACACATGCAGCATACTACCGAACTTCGTCCTTCGTTGTGTCTTGTTGCATTTAAGATCGTTTAAGCTGATACTTTTCCGCTTTCGAGGACCGCCCTGTGTTGAAGAATTATCTCGCGATCGGTCCGTGGGTTTGGGACTCTGCTTGGACCCACCGTGGACAAGGGACCATTGGACTGGGAGGGGCTAGGTGGTTGCTTCGAGTTCTTGTCGTCAATTTGGGTTTCGCACTTCACTCCTTACTTCACAAACGTTCGTCGAACCTCGTTGTATCTTGTTGCGCATACGTAGTGTAACGACGCTTGCTAGGTCTACGAACTCGTGTAGCACCTGCCGTGGAAACGGCCGGGGCTCGTTCGCAGTCGTGGACTCCGCCGCAGAGCCGTGTCACTGCACCGTCAGCCGCTCCTGAACATGATCGGCAGAATGAAGCGGCTTGGTGACGAATGAACTTTCATAAGACTCATGTTGTTTCAAGCTGATGTTTCATCCCAGATCATGTCCTGCTTCATTCTTTGAAGGTGTGTTAACCATGATGCTTCATGCTCGCTGCCTCAAGGCTTCCTACTTCTACCATGGATCTCTGAATGCACCTTCTTCGCGGGCAGTCAGAGACTGGGCGCATCAGGGCGGGCCTTTTGGGACTTTTGGTTTTGGTGGCTCCACTGACTTTGAAAACGATTGGAGTATGAACCTCAATTGCATTGGATCGGTCCATCTATCCAGGACCTTGACTGCTAGCTCTTCATCCACGACCTTTGCCCCGTGGTGGAGATTTCGGATGAGGAGGAGCCTTTCCTGATTGAGGAAGCTGGCGAATCAGAAGGGAAACTTCAGTGACGATGATCCTGTGGAGCTTCGACCAAAGGGATGTAGCCAGATGGATGATTGAGAAAGAATATGAAAGAATAACATTTCGATGAGGATGATTGCTGATTGCCCGCAGCCACACGGCAACCCACCAGTACCTGACACCTCTGCGCCTGCTCTGCCTCCAGAGCCTTCAGCTAGTCATGGCGCTGTTGTAGACCACGGTGTACCGCGGCCACTATCAGAGCTCTTCCGAGGAGTCAAGCGATCTTTTAAATATGGTGCGTGTCCGCACCATGGTTGAGCGCTATCACCTTGGGTCTTCAAAACAATTCCCAACAAAGGTCGACCGCATTTGATTTGCAATCGCTTCTGGAAGGAGCATGAGAATGGATCGAGGGAATCCTGGTGTAAACGAGCCGTGGGACTCGAGGAGGTGCGCTCATGGCCTTGCATGTTGAGAGAGCGTGTAGCTTCTCTTGAGAACCGCTTTGCACGGGCGGGACTTAGTGGACTGACGTGCTGAGAGAAAGTGCTTCGCTGCACGCCTCTATACGAATCGTGAACATGAGATTTGCGGTGTGGACCACAAATGATAGAAGAGTCGGGGTCTGATGCTAGGTTGCTTCCTTCGTTGTCACCCATCCATATTTTATCATATTTTCATAACTGCCCCCCACCCTCTCATCCATCCACCCCCCATCATTTATATACATCAAAAGACAATTCATCACCCCATTTCCCCACACCATCACACAATCCCTCGACCTATCTTTCCCACCTTCATTTTCCATGTTTGCATTCCCTGTTTACCATTCATCACATTCATCAACTCCCCCGACCCTATATCATGTGCATTATCATCCATCTTGTTTTCAAGAAGGAACTTGGCATCGGTCCGAGGTTTCCTGATGAGAAGTCAAGATCAAAGACTTCCGACACTGTGGGGTTGCCCTCCAATAGGACCAGATGATGGAACTAGCGTGGCACGTTGGTGACGTCTTCTTTTTGAGTCTTGAACTTGAAAGGCACTTCTGCCGGAAACCGAATAAGCATAAGAATGTGGACTGTGCGGTTCTCCATACCGTGAAGACGTGCGACATTGAAGGTGCAGCTGCTTTTCGCGCTTCACTGGCTGCTCGGCCGAGCAGAAAGAACGTTCGAGGGTGCTGCGAGGCTCTTTTAAGGCTCGACACAAAATCCCTCAGCCAAAGCGGTCACAAAGAAGCAGTTCTCCAAGCAGAGAAGGCAATCTTACTCTGCTAGCTCTTCGGCACCTCCCCGCCGAGACCGACAGTGCACTGAACCTTCTGCACTAGACAAAACACCCGAAAGCGCGTTGAAGGACTGATCATAGTCTTTCATGTATAAGTGGCGTGACATACATGAAATTCTCTGCAAACGGGTTTTGAATGTTCCAGGAGCTCTTGGTCCCTGGTTACGTTTCCAGCCCTGGCATCTGCCCGATTTGTGTTTGGTATGCTTCATTGGAGACGAGTGTAAGACATACGTCCCTGGTTGCAAAAGTGTCTTCCATTCTGCCCTATCGATCACATTCAGGCACTTGCGGACGGTCTACCCTCAGACTCCCAAAGTTAAACGAGAACCCTTCGCCACGCATTCGGGAAAAAACGCACATCCTTAAACATCAAAACGCTTCCAAGCATTAGGCTTTCGCAATATTCTAACGGTAGGGCGATGTTTTTTGAAAATTGTACTGTTCTAAGTTCTAAGCCTTTGTTTGTCAATATGTCCTCGAAGATTCTGGTGAGCAAAAGCTCTGGAGGCATCTTTGCTCGCTGACCTGGCCCTGGAGATATCTTCGCTCTGCACACGGATGCTTTTGCAGTAGCTTTTCTTGGGGCCATGATGATCGAAGTGAAACATATCTAACCTCAAGTATGGGCAGTTTCTTCCATAAGCAGCTTGAGCTCCTGCCCTTTGCGCTGCAGAAAGCAATGACAAGCCACATGGGACTCCGCCCACTCACGGCACAAACTTGCCCATCATCCAGGAGGACCGGTCTTTTTGATACCAAAGTTCAGGGAACTCGGAAATCCGAGCTTCTGAATATTCTTCTTCACATCACCTGAAATCTTTTTCAGGTCTTCCGATGCCTTTGCGCCTTTATTCAACGCGTCTCCCAAGTAGTTCATTGTCGATCCAATCGATGGAACCTCTGGCCACAACGCATGATCTGAAAGCCACACAGGGTTTGATGAGTTTGATTCAATTGGGCCAATCTGAGCTCCATACCCCTGCGGCTGCAGCTATTCGATCTGCTTCGTGACGCAGCTGCTGCTCCATCGAACCTGGCGGCCAAATTGAGGCAAGATTCAAATAAAGCGGTTGCAAATCGGGAAACCTACTCGCAACCAAGGCATGTTCCACCCTCTGCCAACATAATCACAACACAGCGCAGTATAGCATGTCACTTTACTTTCTCAGCTCCGGTCCTGCTGAAGTAGCATCGCTGGAGTCGCCTGATGAACTGCAAAATTCTAGAACAATAAAGTCACAAATTCTCATACAATGCTCTTCGCGCTGCATACTTTGCAAACTTTGTGTCTTTCACCTCTTTCACCGGCCTGAAGCCCGAAGGGCGAGGAGCTGCTGCACCATGGGGTCATCACCGTCCCCCAACATAGCTGTTATCGATGTAGCATCAACATCAGGCGAACTCAGAACTTTCAGCATGATTTCAGCCTTCCCCATTTCACGCCTTAGACATACTTTCACTACCCAGTCACCACCACACAAAACTTCTGAAGGGACAATGTCGCGTAGTTGGGTGCTGATTATCAATCCTGCTATCCTTAAAGGAACACATTAAATGACAAGGTCTTTAGTATGAACAACATGAACGTTGCAGTCGCTGCAGCCTACACAAAACAAATGCCACTCCGAGATTCAATACATAGTTGCTGTATGCTGTAGGCATCTGCCTCCCATGCCCAGCAACAACCGGTGCCTCCAGCAACGTGGTCTTTATTAAGGCCGTGTCCAAAAGCAATTGCTGCGCTCCTCGTTCACTGATCTTCCGGCATTTGTGCACTTCAGCCACAAATCTTGCCACGAAACTTTGCACGAACTTGTCACAAAAAAAACGGTAGTGAATCTTGGACAAGTGGGCTGCTATTGGCTCGAACTGCTTTGGAAGACGCTCTGATATGTCTCCCACAAAGGCACTGTGATCACCCACGTCCTGCTCAAAAAGCATCCATCTGCTAAAAACTGACTTGCCCCAAAAAGAACTTGCAAAACATGCGCCAACAAACTGAGTCCTGTGAAAACGCTGCCCAGTTGGTTCGACTCATGCTGCTGAAAGCTTCATCCAAGCTGCATGCCACTGACTGGACCAACCCTTCATTGGCTCGATTGACAACGTTGCGCAAAAGCTCCTGCTCATCATGGAAACCTTGGTCGCTGCATGGCGAAGATTCCACTGCCGGCTCTTATTCTTTGTTTATTTCATTCGTGCCCTCGCATCAGTACCGCTGCGACCTGTCGCCAATACTCGCACACATGCCGCAAGCTAGCTACTTGCTTCTACGTCCATATACTGCATGGACTGCCGTGTCTTGTCGGGTGGACATGCTGATGGGTGGCCACAAACAAGCGCACAGCTGCAATTTAGCATACCATCACTGTATTGTATGATGTTGACTCTGCATTCCAAGCATCAGTTCCCAATGCTATTGCAGGGGCACAATGATATAGGCAAAATCACAACATGGAGGAGCAGGATGTATATGCACAACTCCTGCATGAAACACGTAGTAGTGATATGGAACTGGGGCTGCGGGGCGGCAGTGGGACCAAGTCGCGCGCGTGTATCCATGCCCAACCCTCCACCCTACAAGCAGCAATTGTTTTCCATCAGGTAGCGGTTTGCTTTCCCTGTGGTCTCTCTTCTGACTCACAGGCCCAAAGCTTCTGCCACTCTCCATTCTCTCTTTTTAAGAGGTGTGGGTGGGTGGGTGCTTGAGCCAAAATGGCACACACCCACCTCCACCCAAAACCAGCTACTCCTAGGTGTGATACGCAGGCATGTCCCTACAAGCAGCACTTGTTTTCCATCAGGTAGCGGTTTGCTTTCCCTGTGGTCTCTCTTCACCTCCATCCTCCTCTGACTTTGTCGCGGGAAGCTTCAAGCCGCCTGCATTTGATGCACCGCTTTGCATTCCCTGTCTTGTACTTGGTCAGGCCAACCGCAAGCTGTTGACCACTTGTCCAGATGAATGCCCCAGCTTGCATTGGCCACCGTGTGCCTCGCTTTCCTCTGGATGATGTAGACGCCGCAGAGCGCTAGGACTTGTCGATCGGGGGTTCTAGCCTGGGTGGTGCTGGGATCTTCTTGTTCTCTTCTGTTCTGTTCAGAGGCATCTTTTTGAAGGCGTTCTGTATGTACCGGAGCACTGCGGACGATTTGCACCTGGCCCAGAAGGAGATGTCGTAGATCCCCATACTGTACCCTTCTGCGTGTACATCATGGCGCCCGAATCTCCTGGCTGAGTGCCCTGGATTAGGGTTGTTTTGCCAGGCTCTCACCATCTGTTCTTTGAAAACTTGGGCACCCGAACACGTGGGAAAGGCGGGCCCCCTCTTTGTCCGTCAAGCAGCGCAGAGCCCTCACTGCAAGATTCCAGGGGCATAGAACAGCATTGGAGGGTTCGCCAAGCGCCCTTGATTTGCTGATCCCGACTCCTTTCGCTTCCAGACCAGCTCCACGTGTTTTGCCTTCACTAAGGGTCACTAAGGCTGCCTCAGCATCCAGTGAGTGGCCCACGCGTATGACCCGCACGGTCTTTTTGGAGCTCATGACATCCCACAGCAAGACATCCAGCGACAAGCGACAGCGTGTACGCCACACTGGGTCGCTACAATACTCCCACAAGTTTCCGGGATGCTGAGGAACGCCGGCCCACGGGTCGCAAATCTCTCGAGCCCTGGCGGCGGCACTGCGAAGTCTGTGCTGCAACTTCTTGAGTCGAGGCTCGCCTCGTTCATGTGGCCTTGACAGCCAGTCCGCTTCCTTGTTGAAGATCACCGAGCTGGCCGACTTCAGGATGAGCCCCTTGCTCTGGATTCGCCGTTGCCAGAGCTTGACCGCTCGTAGGATGGCATAGGCCTCACAGACCGCCTGGGACGATGTCTATATAAATTTGGATGACAGCTTCGTTGGGTAGCACCAGGCTCTGCGACAAACTCCCCAGAGCTGCGCTGAGTCGTCCCATCATCAGCGGGGCGGCTTTAAACCCGAATGCATGGCCACCCACACAACAAGCGCCTCGCCCCGCACCCCGATGCCCCGTGAGATGCAGTGCTGAAGTTCGTCTCTCGTCACCGCGAAGTGGCAGAACGCGTCGGCCAGGTCATCCTCCGCAAATCGTTTTCTCCCAGGCTGCTCGCAGCTTTGCGCCGACTTCCCGCACCATCGTCAGTCTCTCCACCGCGAGGTCTGCATTTCTCATGCCACCGACCGCCACGTCGTCCTCTGCCCCCCTCAACTCTTTCTTAGAGACTGTGGCCATTGTTCTCGGCAAGGCTCATCCTTCCTTGTCAGCACAGAAGCAAGGCGCTGTGATGTGTGGGCAGAAGCAATCAAAGCCCAAAGCGGCCAAGTCTAGCACGTAGAGCTGCAACATAGCCAGACTGAAGTCTGCATGCAAGGGGACAATATCTTCCTCCCCCAAATCTCCAGGTGGGGGGTATCAGCTTTTCCTTCTAAAGCCGTGGCAAATAGTGTCTGATCCCTCCACATGGCCAACTGTGCCAAACTGCTCTTGTAGACCTTAGGATTGATATTGGGACCCTTAATGACCGCGTAAAAGCGATTGCCAATGTCAATCGCTGGTGCGCGGTTGAGACTGCCAACCCGTCCAGCTTGGACTGCACGCCTTCCAGGCCCGCAGAAACTCACTGCTCCTGGTCCTGGGACCCAGCCACCTGAGGTAGTAGCATCAAATGTGCAGGGCATGGAGAGACTCAATGGAGTCTCTGGGAGTCCCTGGTCTCTTGCCTTGGTGTTGGTGACAGGAGGACAACCTCCTGCCAAGATGCCACACTCGGCGCTCCGGAAGACAAAGGCAAGCGAGATTGCTGAGCGTAAATGCCAGCCAAGTCCAGGAGGATCCCCAATCCACCGGCCAGAGTCCAAGGCCAAACGCTGCACGAAGGACGCCGCTCGTTCCGCTTTGCCCTTAACCGAGATCTGAAGCCCTTGGAACTCCAAGGACAAGCCCAGCTCCTTGTCGTCGCCTCTGGAGTGATGGCGACTGCTCATTCAATTAGGCTCTGACCCCTGCAGGAGGTGGAACAGAGGCAGAAATCCAAAGCCCAAACAAGGAGTAGCTAGCAGGAGAAGTCCACAGCACAAGCCAGCAAGGAAGGAAGCCTGGCCGAGAACCGGTCGAGAAGTAGAAGCAGTGCTGGGCAACCTAAGGACGAACTGAAAAATCTCGGGGGCCCAATCCATGCACCTGAAGCTTGAGCGCAAAAGAATGCTCCGGCCTGCTACATTCTTGCCCGCCTCCGTTTTTCTGCTTAATAGAACTGGACCGCCAGGAAAAAGTAGATCCAAAAATAAGTGGTTGCGAACTCACACAGCCCAGCTGCGTCAGGATCTAGGCGCCAAAAAAGCAAGCATTTAGAAAATTTGCAGCGGGAATTGTTCCTTCTGTTCTTGTGAATTTCTTTCACGCCTGCCCTGCGCTGCGCCTGTCTGCTGGCAATTCATTTTGTCCGAACAAACGCGGCATGTCTCGCGCAGCTCTCGCTGTGGCACGGTGTGCATTTGGCGAGTTCAACCGCTTCAATTTGACTGTCCGTCGGCTGGCAAAGTGGCTTCGAGCTGTTTTTTGGTCCAAATTCGGGAACGGTGGCAGGTGCAGGCACTCGGTGACGTTCAACTTGGAAGCCTGGTTTTGAGGCAAACCTTTCCTCAACCGCAGTAGCTTCAGTCTGACTTTGAAAGTCTGCGACTCTTGCCGTGGCATCATGCACATTTTTAGGCTTGAAGCCAACCCTTTTTGTGGAGAGTGCAGTAGGTCGGGGGTTGCATACAGTGGATTGAGAGTAGATTCATCTTAGGGGTTGTCCTAGGTCCTGGTGTTTTAGTGATCCAAAGCTGACTTGTCGTGGCAGGTACGATCAGGCACGAAAATCCACCAGGCGTCCTGAGGCGGGCAACTGTTAAAGTGTTGACAAACAGGGACACGGTACAATGCGCAAATCTCATGGCTTAAGAGGGGGTTGGCCCCTTCAAAAGCATGCAAACCACTGAGACTACTGCTGAGTTGTGCGTGTGTACCGCATATAATAGCTTCTGCTCTCTCTCTCTCTCTCTCTTGTTTTGTTGGTATCTTTCTTCCGTACTTGCTACCTTGTTCCTTGCTCCCTTCCTGTGTTCCTTCCTTGCTTCCTTTCTTCCGCCCTTTCTTCAACAGCAATGCAATAGCAAAGCATACAGCAAGAGCGAGCGAAGCATGAGCATTGCAGGAACAAAGCAAAAGCTATAGAAAAACAAAGCAGGAAAAGCAGAAACCAAGAAACAAAGTATAACTACTGCGTGTGCGTATACATTATCCATCCTATACATATATAAGTAATGTATATTCACTGTGCGGGGTGCACTAGCTTAGTTTGCCGACCTGTAGCCACACGAACGTGACAAACTGAGGGCATCGCCGATTCGATCTTGGAAGTCTGCACTGATGATCTTCGTCAGCGATTCCTCAAGAAGTGGAAGAGTTTCGTCGCAATATTCTGCCGTGCCGATTACGCAACAAATAGCTTGCACACCCTCTGCATCCAAAGATAATTTGTGGCCCGGAGGAGGAAGTATGCTGGACAATTTGCTGGCATACTGGTTCATAACTTTCCGGAATACTTGGAAAATGTCAAATAACGTATTGTGTGTAGAGAAGCGGGCGCATTCTTGCATGCTGCCCCTCATGGCAGCAAAAAGCTCAGGTGCTGATTTGTACAAAAACCTTTGCTGTAAAACTTCATCCTCGTCTTCATCATTCTCCTCTTGGCCTACCATCTTGTCTGCGGCAGTCAGTGCTTGCAAAACTTCAAGTAGTTGTTTTTCTTCATGTCTGACCCAAGTTCCCAGGTAGGCATCAAAGCACTCACTGATTATTCCCCGGAAGCGAGGGGCGAACTGATCTGTAGAATTCTCGTTGCTTTCAGCAGAACCTGAAGCCTTTCCGCCTGCCTTTACTGACAGCACATCTGGATACTTCAGTATGGGCATCGCTGAGAGTCTCGAAGTGTCGAAGTGTTCACTGTCCTCGATTTCAACTGCCCACTTCCTTGCTAATTCATTTTCAAATTCAATGGACTTGAGGAGGACACGCACCATCAGTTCTGGGTCAACCATGTGATGTGTGGTGTCAAGGATTTCGACTAAATGCTGTCGTGTCACATGGCAGAACAGGTCGCATAGGCCACATGGCACTTGCCAGGATTCTGGGAACTGTGACTTATACTTGTCGTCATATTCCCGCAGCGTTCGTTTCAACCAAGCAAATCTACGCTCAGCTGTTTCCAAGCCTGATGCCTCTTTGGGCGGTTGGAAGATATCTTTGTAGCCTTCCAATAATCTCAAGCAGAACTGCGTTACGACCTCTCGTCTCATGCCAGGTCCGATTGCATCTACACATTTGGCAGCAGCAGTGCCCCAGCCTTCTGGGAGCTGCTCCAAGCGAGTAGCGCTTCCAATTCCACCATGCAAGCACATGTAGTCTTCCAGCACTTGTTGCTTCAAATCACTGAAGACAGCAGCCTTTCTTTCCAAGAGGTCCGCCACACGTGCAACGTGGGATAGTTCCTGGAAGTGGCCGGATAATTCTTCGACTGCATGAATCAAAGAAGATGCTTGTTCGTAATGCCTGCATTCTGCGGTTGACCGCAGCTGTTCCAAAGCAGTGACCAGCATAACCAGTCGCTTCAAAGCAGTCACAGTCAAGGTCAAGTTTCTCTTGGCAACATCAAGGGATTTGATATCCCTGCACACGTCACTTACGAGCTCTTCACTTTGCTCTGCTTTGGCTTTAATGGCCTTGATGCGCTCGAAGAGTTCGCGAACTGCCAATTTTGCATCACCCAAGTCAGCCTTGGCTCGGCGGCCAAAAGCTGCCTGCCTCCTGACTGCGTTTTTGATGCCTTCTTCAATCTCACGCTCTTGCACTTTCAGCTGCTCGATAAAGTTGCCAAGTCGACCAAGAGAGTCTTCATTTGGGAATTGTTTGTTGATGTAGTCGATTGCATTGAAATTCTCTGCGTCAAGTGGATCAGGTTCTTCACTGGCAAGAGGTTCAAAATCATCTTCCAAGTCATCATCCATCTGCGACCGTTGGAGTAATTGCACTGAAGCTCCCTGCAGCTCGTCTTGAATCAAAGACTGCAAAGCATAAGGATTGCTGTTTCACTTAATGCCCAAAGTAACATTTGCCAGGCTATTGAACTGTGAGACGTCCGGCAATGTGTTGATTGTGCATCACTGTGCTGCCTTGCAATCATGCTATGCTAGGAACATACATGAACACAAGTCCAGTCGAGCAAGAAAGATAAAAGGATATAAAAGGCAGGGGGCCCTTGCCCCTGCACATAGAACATTGGTAAACTGTGAACTACAGCCCTACGAACTAGCATGGCAACTTTGACTTTGACACATAATTCAAGAACGCTACACATGCCGTACATACGTGCCAAGCCAAGCCTTACAGTATATATCTGCTCCACTGTTTGCACGTGCACGATGTTGCAAGCGGCCCTTTTACCCTCCCTCCATGAACACTCCTTTTCTCACAGCAATTTGACTGAAAATCGTAGCATACACAAGGCAATGCAAAGGCGGATCAATGGACATCTGCACCAAGACAAAGATTGGTTTGAACAGGCTCGCTTTCAGTGCTTCCAGAATTCCTCACGAAGAGTCCAATGTCCTGGAGCATTTTGTGACGTGGACTTGGTCAACGTGCACATCTGCTTCAAGAGGGTCTTGAAAAGCTCGTTGTGATGAGTTGCCACGTGCACTGCCAGCTTCTCCAGGACTTGACCAGTAGTGAGACGGTGGTTTGGGGCAAGCTTCTTGTCAAGAAAGACCCGCAAAATGTCCTCAGCAATGCGGCGGTCGGAGTCGAAAAGCTCAGGTTCTGGAGCCTCCAATTTGAGATCGGAAAGGCCTGAGCTGCCTGAGCTTCTGATTGCTGAGAGCTTTTTGAGGCCTGCCAGGATTTCTGCCGATGAGACCTCTCCATTCTCACCTTTCTCCTTCTTGCTGACCTTGAACCTTTCTCCTTCCTGCTTCAGCTGCTTCAAGGCTGCACCTGAGGCACCTGCTCGGCCTTGCTGCCCAGTCCAGGTTGGTTCACTTATGTGGTGAGCTGCCCGTTCACGTGCTGATTTTTTGAGCGCATCAAGGGCCCTCTGTGCAACAAGCCCCGCACTCTTACCAACAAGTTTTCGATCAAGTAACGTCTGCTCAACTTTGTCATGGTTAAAGCTTGCCTTTATGCCTTTTGCATCATACAAAGTTTGCAAGATGGCATTGCTTTCATCTGTGGTTCCCTTTCCTGTTCTGTGCTGCTCTTTCATCGGAAGATCTGACACTGCCTTCATGATTTCAGTTGTCTCAACTTCAAACTCGTCTGGCTCGCCAACATCCAGCTTGCTGAAGAGCTTGTCGTACTTCTTTTTTAATGCTGACATGTTTTGCTTAGTGAAATTGGGCGGAGGGGGAGGCACCTCGAAAAGGTCCGAAATGTCATTCCACTTGAAAAAGCGTCTCTGTCTTGGGTCCTGAAGGACTTTTTGTGCTAGGAAGTGCTTATACACCTGACGGTGGTATATCTTTTCCTCCACTGTGCCCGTCAGAACCAGTCTGTAGACAGAAACCTCTCTTGTTTGCCCAATCCGCCATGCTCTTTCGCGTGCTTGCACATCGGTCATTGGGTTCCAGTCTGGATCAAAAATAACAACTCTGTCGGCGCCTATGATGTTCAAGCCAACACCGCCAACCCGAGTTGTGAGAAGCATTGCAAACACATTTTTGTTCTCATTAAACTCCTCAATCAATTTCAGCCTGCGCTTAACTGGTGTCTTTCCATCAATTCGAAAGTGTGTGTAGCCAATGCGGCTCATCCATAGTTCGATGATTTCCAACATTTGCACAGTCTGAACAAAGATGAGGATTCTATGCCTGTCTTTGTGCCACACCTTCAGAATTTCAGACAAAACTTTCATTTTGCCGGACTTCTTAAAGTCCCACAGGTCTGCTTGGGCTTCGCTGCTATCATCACTGGCACTGGATTTCACAAGCAAGTCTGGGTGATTGCACAATTTCCTCAACACGCTCAAGGCAAAAAACACCGCTCCCAGCACTTTGCGGTCTGAAGATATTGATTTGGCTCTCCTGACCTGCTCAGTTTCCAGGAACTGCACGTAAAGCTGGTATTGCTCATGGGTCAAATGACAGAACAGGACTTGTTCCTGCTTGGCTGGTAGGTGCAAAATGTCCATGCACTCTGCTTTAGTGCGCCTCAGAATGCACGGCTCTGTAAGCTCCCGCAAGGCCACTGCACATTGGTAGGCAGCAGCAACTTTGGGTTCAGTTGCTCCCATGACGTTGCCATTCTCTATAGGTTGGGCAAACTCCTCAGTAAAGACGGGAAGTGTTCCAAGACGTCCAGGGCAAACAAAGTCGAACAGCGACCACAGCTCTCGAAGGTTGTTTTGAATTGGCGAGCCAGAAAGAAGAATTCGGTGTGTTGTGCTGAACCGTTTGCATGCAATTGTCAAGCTTGCATGTGGATTGCGGATCTTCTGGCCCTCATCCAGAATGACAATCACCCATGTTGCTTCAAGCAGCGCATCAATGGAGAGCCTCATCGTTTCATAGGATGTTATGAGGATGCCTTGGTTTGAGCATGCCTGCTTAATGGCTTCTTTTCTTTCTGCCTCATTGAGCTGATGCATGACGCATACACGCAAGGGTGGGTACCACATGTGTATTTCATTGCGCCATTGATTGATCAGAGTAGCTGGACAAACTATAAGCACTCCTCCACTTCTTGGAGGACTCGCTGAACCAAGGGAAGTGTTCTGCACCTTCAAATCCTGAAGCACACCTGAATGATGCAACACAGCTAGGTATGCTATGATCTGTATCGTCTTTCCTAAACCCATCTCGTCTGCAAGAATGCCACCCATCTTCTGGCCATGCAGGCCCCAAAGCCAGTGGACACATGTGTGCTGATATGGGTACAAAGCCTCCCATAACCACCTTGGACATGAAAGGCCATTGCCAACATCTATGTCTTCACTAGAGCCTTGGCCAAAGCCTTTGGAAATCACAACCGAATGATCTTTGCCCAGCTCCTCCTTGCAAACTGCATGTTCGCCCTTTGGCTCAAGCTTTGTGGATGGCACTTGTGCTTTCCACCTTGCTTGTCGCTGCATGTAAATCTTGTCATTGCTGTCGTCACTGCGGCGTGCCCTCTTTTCAGGTTCTGCTGTGGTTTCCTGTTTTCGCTTCACGGGGGGACGCCTAAGGGCGAGTAGGTTTTCCTTTGGAGAAACCAACTCGCCTTGCCGCAACATCGCTTTCCATTCTGCGGCATTGTTGTCCTTCCACTGATGCTGTAGTCTAGCTGTTCGTGGCCTGAGACGAGTAATGTCAATGCCACAGGTTGAGGCACTCGAGGTTTCCTCAACCAAAGGGCTTTCCACTTTGGCATGTGCCTCAACCTTTGCTTGCATGGGTTGTTTCACGGAAATGTATCCTGTGGACTCCTTGAGCAATCCCTCATTCGAGAGCCAACCCTTGGATGCAGCTTTATCCCTGCGCAAGGTGGAAGCTGGTTCGGTCTTGCCAGTCTGTACCCAGGCCACTGCCGCCAAAGCATGTGACACAGCCTGCCCGGCACAGCCCGACAAAGTACAACAAAATGCAATCATTGCCATCCAATGAAACACTAATTCAATGGAACCCTAAAGTGGCAACAAACATGCCGTTCTCAACCTTGAAACCCCCCATGTGCACATACTCGATCTCATGTGGCTTTGGCTTGCGACCGGACAAGATTGGACATTTCTTTTTTTTCAACCTTGTCACCACCGCCACCATCATCATCATCATCATCATCACCACCACCACGATCACTACACTGCCCTGGAAACGGTGAAGGAGGCTTGACTCACGGCTTGACCACCACATGGCACTTGTGGCGCGGGCGCAAGCCTATCATAGTGATCTAGCGCTGGTGCATTGCTGCAGCTAGGTGCAAGTGGCCGGCAACCGTCTAAAGTGGCACACATTCTTTGGCATACAGGCATCAGCTAAAGGCAGCCGGCTTCTCCTCGCAGCTGATGACCACAGCAGCTAATTTGAAGATGACAAAGCATCATAGCAAGACTTGTGGAACATGCCGAAACTTTAGCCACACATCGAAATGAGGGCAACACCTTGTTCCAGCAGGTCACTCAGTCCCTCGTGAACAAAGATTTTACAGCGCATCAGAAAAAATGTCACCAAAGGGAAACCAAAAGCAAAACGAAAGGATGCCCGAAAAGGTTGTCACCATGCAAATTCAACATTTTGCATGCAATAACGCGGCACAGTTTGGCACTCAGGCAACCTGTCACCACCTCACCACCTATCAAAAATGTAACTGCCAGTGAACTTGATGTTTCTCCACAAATCGACACATACAATGCAATGCTACCTCGAAGATTTTTTGTTGGGACCTGACAGAGCTCTTTGATGGGGTGCGCCCAGCAGATGAATTGTTGCCTCCGGCTCAGCTATGCTTGGAGCAGCCTCGGGTCTTCATCAAGAGGCAGGTTCTGCAGGAACTCAAGTTACAAAGGTTGAGGAGGATTCAGGCAAGGACCTTCTGTGAAGAGGGCACGTGCCCCAGCGGATTCATCGCCTGTGAAAAAATGATCCAAAGAGCAGCGCGCAGCATCGGCCACATGGACCCAAGGCTCACTGAGGGCCCACTGGTGACCCACATCTATTGGGGAAAGAGCTCAATGCCGCATGCCCTTTATGCCATGTGCCCCTGAAGCCTGTGCACCTGATTTGGAAATGTCAGTGTCACGGGACCAGCTTCCTGAAACCAGGAGAGTGCAGATTGAGGCGGGCACGAACTTGGGCACTTCTGGCTGTCTGGCGGCCTGGCGAGGCCCAGCCTGGCCCCCATGCCACTCCACAAAGTCACACTGGCTGTCAAGAGCGCAAGTGCAGATCCTGACCTTCGACGCTGGGTGATTGGTTTGGTGGGTGGGCCATTGGCAAGGAGCGTGGGTGGTTTCTGCACTGCCGTTGCCACTGGTCAGCGGCACCAGGCACGAGCGTATGGCGGTTCTTGGTACACATCAGCGGGGTGTGGTGAACCAGG